GGGGTTTGGGGGGTTTTTGGGGGGTTTAGGGTTTAAGCGTTTAGGGCGTTTAGGGTGCAGGGTTTCGGCTTTAGGGTTTAGGGTTACATCCTAAAACCCTAAAGTTTAGCTGATGCAGGCAAGGTTTGCTTCTACAGCGGGTTTAGTGTGAAGCCTCACACCCTAGAGCTTAAACCCTAACCAATGGAGGCAATGTTTATTTTTACAGCGCGCATGATCGACAAAGTTGGAGCGAAGAGGAGAAGGCTTTGGCGAACAAGTTCTGCCCCTTGATGATTTTGTTCCCCCTCTACATCCTCGTGATGTTAATCTTGACGTGCATGGTAGATGCTCGGAAAAAGAAGCGGCCACTTTGCCATCTGGCATACGATGTGGGCCATGCTTCCAAAGGCAAGACAATCATTGGGCCATGCATTGTTTCTGGGTCCTGGTTGGACACAGTTTTTTCATGTTTGTTATGATAAAACCCTAATAAGGATTAAACATTTTAAAATCATCATTTTTAGTATGGCCCCAACAGTGAACCAGGTTTGGCATTTCTGCAATTTCAGCCTGGGTGGTCCGGAGACGCTGTTCCTGAAGCCCAAGCCACTCACAAGCAAAGACAACGCAAAGCCGGGGTTTGCCATCACTTCTGCTCAAAGCTGTGCTGTGCCTGCAGCTGCGGGTTTCGCGCTTTCGATCTGGGACAACCCAGAGTACGACCCAGATGACGTGCAGAAATCCGCACTGAGAGAGAAGATCGTTGAGCTGGACACCGGGAAGTTTGCAGACCGACATGTCTATGTCCTTTGGAATACCCGAAGGGCTACCATGGACTTCGCTCGTGGCTATCTCGGCGTGGTGCCGGGAGCTGGGAAAGTTTCCACTGCTGAGTGGGATGCACAGGCTCAGGCTGGCCCCTCTCTGGATCTCGAAGCTGGCAAGCCCTAAGCCTCCAGGTACCTAAACCCTTAGCATCAAAATAGCCCCAAAGCCTTCTATAATAGGGTCTTTGGGCCCAAAAAGCCTTAAAATATGAGTCCTTGGAGGGTAAGGGAAAGGGTTTAGGGGTTAGGGCTCCAGGTGCAAGGTTTCCGGGTTTAGGTGTTGAGGGTGTAGGGTGGGTTACTGAGTTGCAGGTGGCATGGTTGGTAACCTACTAGGTCACCGGAGCAATAGGGAGGCCTACGCTTGCAAATGTCCGCAAGAGGTAATCGGGGTTGCTGTTAAGGATCTTAGTGTAAGCTACCATAATGGGGATATGTAGTAAATAACAGGGCTTCCTGTTCATAGTAACTTACTTAAGCTTCCTTAACAGCAACCCCCGTGTTTCATCTGACCGAAGCAGGGCCAGAAACGTGCCTTCTTGATCACTCCCAAAGGGATCTTCAATTCGCGCCTTGCAGTTCTGTCATGTGCGGTCTTTGCAAAAGAAGGGATCCGGACCTCTTCTCAGCAGGGCTGTTACGCATTGCACAACATGATCACAATACATCACCTTTACCAGGGAAATGCTAGTCCCTAAACCCTAAATGCTAAACCCCTAAACCCGAAGCCCCTAAACGC